AGTGTTTACAAAATGTATGGCAGTGGTGGCAGCATTCCTCAGAAGGCACGGGGTCCAAGTTTTTCCGTACCTGGATGACTGGCTCATCCGGGGCCGGTCAAGGGATCAGGTGCTAGCCCATATAACATTTACAAAATCCCTCTTTGTGGAACTCGGGCTACTGATAAACGAGGAGAAATCTGTTAACTCCTTCTCAGAACATAGAGTTTGTGGGAGCCTACATAGATGCCACGAGAGGAAAGGCGTATCTCCCCATGGCCAGGTTCCAAGCTATGGCGACCATGGTGCAAGACCTTATGCTGTCCCGCTTACAACGATCTGGACTTTTATGAAGCTTCGTGGACATATGATGGCCTGTACTAACGTGGTTCGCCACGCCAGGTTGAGACTCAGACCCCTACAAGCCTGGCTGGCGAGGTTGTTCAACCAGGCCAGGGCTCATTGGGACTCCATTCTGTCATTGCCTCCGGAGGTAGTGGCCTTTTTGCAATGGTGGACTCGACAGGAGGAGGTGTGCAAGGGGGTCCCCTTCCTGAGCGAGGTGCCCTCAGTCAGACTGATAACAGATGCCTTGGACGAAGAGTGGGGCGTTCACTTGGCGCACCACAGGACGCAGGGTTTGTGGGCCCCTCGTGAGAAGTGCTTACATATAAATGTCAGGGAATTGAGGGCTGTCAGAAGGGTGTGCAAGGTCTTCCTAGCCCAACTCTCAGGGAAAACAGTGTCAGTGCTGCTGGACAATACAGCAGCCATGTTTTATATAAACAAGTGTGTGCCTTGCTCCTCTCCCTTATGTCAGGAAGCTGTTCTCCTTTGGGAGTTCTGTATAGCCCACAACATTCATCTCCAGGCAATGTATCTGCCGCTTCGCAAGAATACATTGACGGACACGCTAAGCCAGTCATTCAGGGCCCACGAATGGTGCTTGAAGGATGCTGTCCTTTTACCTCTCTTCCAGAGGTGGGGTCATCCCCAGGTGGATCTGTTCACCACAGAAGTGAACAAGAAGTGCCCCCGTTATTTCTCGTTCCTGGGCCTGGGGACAGGGTCCAGAGGGGATGCCCTGGTCATCGATTGGCCTTGGGGCCTGCTGTACGCATTCCCCCCCCCATTTCCCATTGTTCCCAGGGTCCTAGCCAAGACCAAGCAGTTCAGGTCCCAGGTCATACTGATAGCCCTGGACCGGCCCAGGCACTTTTGGTATCCCATTCTGCCCTCCCCCGCCCACTCAAGACCTGGTCACTGAAGCCTGGGACGGAGGTCTCCTGTACCACCCGAACATCAGGTCCCTCCACCTTACAGCCTGGCTTATCCGTGGTTTACAGAGCCAGAGCTTGGCTTGTTCCGAGGGTGTGCAGGCGGATCTGCTGGGGAGTAGAAAGCCAGCTACCAGGTCATCCTATGCAGCCAAATGGAAGAGGTTTTCCCTATGGGCAGTCAGTAGGGAGCTAGACCCTTTTCTGGCCCCGGTACCGGTTATCTTTGACTGCTACTTTGAGCTGCGTCAAGTGGTCCTATCTACCTCTTCAATCAGGGTCCAGTTGGTGGCCATGTCGGCCTTCCACCTTGGGGTTGGCGGCAGATCCCTTTTTACCAACCATGTCGTTAAGAGGTTCCTCAAGGGTCTAGATAGGTTGTTTCTGCACGTGAGGGCACCTGTGCCTCAGTGGGACCTTAATCTGGTGCTTACTAAGCTTATGTCTCCCCTGTTTGAGCCCTTAGCCATGTGCTCGCTTAAGTACCTGTCGCTTAAGGTGGCCTTCATAGTAGCTATAACCTTGGCGCGGAGGGTGTCCAAGCTCAGGGCTTTTACAGTAGAACCCCCGTATTTGGTATTCTTGGCAGATAGGGTCAGGCTGTGTCCGCACCTAGCCTTCCTCCCTAAGGTAGTCTCCTCGTTCCACATGTCCCAAGACATTTATTTACCTGTTTTCTTTCCAAAGCCCCACCACTCCCCTAAGGAGCAGGCCTTACGTTCACTGGACGCAAAAAGAGCGTTAGCCTTTTACATAGATAGAACGAGGCACTTTTGCAATTCATGTCTGTTTATTTCTTTTGTGGAAAGAATGAAGACAGTATCGGTCTAAAGACTGTCCTCTTGGGTTTCTTCGTGTATCCGGGAATGTTATATTCTGGCACACAGGGAGCCGCCCCATGTTAAGGCTCACTCCACTAGAGCCCAGGCGTCCTCGGCAACTTTTGTGGCACGAGTTCCAATAGTTGACATTTGTAGAGCGGCCACGTGGTCCTCTGTTCACATGTTTATGGCGCACTATGCTATTACCCAGCAGGCCAGGAATGATGCTGCTCTGGGTTCTGCTGTTCTCATTTCCGTTCTGTAAACCTGGGAAAAAAAAAAAAAAGAATATGGTCATAATTTAAGTACCTCAGATGAGTTGTTTTATTATGTTGAATAAATTTATGGTTGATTTGTTTATGGCCATCGTGCTGCGTTGTCCTTAGGAGTGCATCTCCGACACCGCCTCCATATGGTTTTAGCTTGGGAGTCACCTCATTTGAATGCACGTGAGCAATCACTCGAGGAAAAGACGGTTACTTACATGTAACTGTTGTTCAAGATGTGTTGGTCATGTTCATTTGATTTCCCCCCCACCTCCCCTTTAGAGCATCTCCTGATGGCAAAGCACTGTCCACACTGGTGCTTTTAATTGTTACAACTTTTGTTGTTTGATGGCAGGGAGGTTCACACTACTGAGCAACACAAGTTTTTATGATAAAAGTGCAGCGTAGACATGTCCTAAGTTTCTCATCAAGCTACTGCATACTAAATTATAGCCATCATTAAGATCTGCTTTCATGACTTTTTTTTCCTGCTTGCCAAAAAGAATAAAGAGGACAAGCAAGAGTCCTGGTACATATGTAAATATGTTCAACGCTCTCCACATTTATTACTAACTTTTCCAGGTTTAATGAGAAACGTATGCAACTGTTAGAATACCAGGTTTCGTCTTCACTGTGAGATCTTCCAGCAGAAAATACGCTAATGAGGGACTCATTAGCATAAGTTGTGATCTCATTAGCATATTTCCTGTCCTTTCATATTCCCCAAAGTCTGGATATTAGGATGGTGGGGGACGTTTTTTGTACCGAGGTCTGTAGAGACAAGGTTTTGGGGTGCTCTGCTTCCTCCCCAGCCCCTCCTCTGAGGCCTGGTCCCTGCTAACTCCATCCTCACCCTTCCCCGACCAGCCAACAAAGATGTCTGAAAACTGTCCGCGGTGGTCGACCGAGGCCTGCAGGACCATCAAAAAGTCTCCCTTCCAGTTGATGTACTGAGATGCCTGGTGGTCCGGATGGGGATGAGGGTGCCGTCAATAGCCCCCCTGCAGTTGGGGAAGCCCATGGCGACAAAGCCGGCGACGATCGTTGCTGAGGTGGATGACACTGTGTAGCACGACAGTGTTGATAGACCTCACAAACAAACAAACAAAAAACCCCAGAGAATCAAAGCGGTCCCCGAGCCCTCCCCCCACAAACACCCCAGGAGCCGCCCCCTATGGAGCTTGCCCCCCTGGCAGGGCTGTGTGAGGGCGGGACTAGAGAACTGCCTGGGGATGAGGGCTTCCCCCCCACCCCCAATGCCCCCTTTCCCTAGGGTCCCCCTTTCCAGTACTCGCACCCTCCCCCGCCCCCGGACTGCAGCCCGAGAGCACCGTGCCTGCATGATGAGGGCCCCGGCGGGTCACCTCC